TATCGGTTTAAGTCGTATCTGAGCAACAGAAGTCAACTTGTAAGGGTGAATACCACGTTGTCTTCTAGCAAGCCAATAGAATGTGGAGTACCACAAGGCTCAGTACTAAGCCCTATTTTGTTTCTTCTTTTTATTAACGACATTGCTAACATAAACATCAGTGGCAAAATATGTCTTTTTGCGGACGACACTAGCTTCACTTGGAGCAACAAGGACATCACGGCACTTCATAGGATTATATCAAATGACTTAATCACCATTAAATCTTGGTGCGATTCGAACCTCCTGAGTCTCAACATTTCTAAAACTAAGGCTTTGTCGTATAAAAACTCGTTGCAGCCTTTTGTACTTGACAACACCACCATTGACGTCGTAAAATCCGTAAAATTCTTAGGGCTTGTTGTGGACAATTCTCTGAAATGGGACATACATATCGAAGCTTTGTCGAAAAAATTGAGCTCTGCCTGTTTTGCATTAAGGTCTGTTTCTAAGGAGCTTAACTTGTCAGTGGCTAGAACTGTTTATTATGCACTTTTTGAGTCGCACCTCAGGTATGCCCTTCCATTCTGGGGTACGTGTTGTGCGGCTCAATTTGACCGCATTTTCAAGCTCCAGAAGAGAGCTGTTCGATATTCACTGGGACTAAACAGCAGAACTCATTGCCGGGGCTTTTTTAGAGAATTAAAAATATTGACTCTTCCTTCCTTATTTATATTTGAATCCGTTTGCCTAATACGTAAACATGTATCAGCTTCTCAAGAAAGGCCATCTCACACTTATCCACTCAGGAACGCGGAGCAAGATCTTTATCTACCTACCCCACGCTCAGAGTTAGTTAAAAGTTCAATATTATACAACTCGAAAAAAATGCACAATCACCTGCCATTTGAAATCAAATCCATAACATCATTTTTTTCATTTCGCAAAGCATTGAACTCTTATTTACTAGACAAGGCTTTCTACGCCGTAATGAATTATATTTTGAAAATCAAATTTGATCTTGTAAACACTGGTCTAATGTTTGCTATTGCTATATTTACTAATGATATCGAAATGAATTTATTTAGAGGTCATTGATATTTTACTATAAACTAGCTAAATATTTTTGAATATTATTTTTATTTTTTTGTTCTTTGACATTATAAACATTTATAAATGTTTATTTTAACAATAAGACTGACAATATTATTTGTATAATGTTTTGTATTATCTTTTGTTTATTTGTTTGTGTACCTTGTTTTTTTACTTTGTTTGTTAATTTACCTTTGTCTACAAATTGAAAAATTTTTTGACAATAAAGGCATTTATTCACTTTAAAGCTAAACAACTAATCACCATTGTAATAAAGTTTATACAAAGTTCACTACACACAAACTAATAAAAATCGCTAAAATTGTCGCTGATGACCAGCTGATGACTCCAACCAAAAAAATGGCGTCTAATATCACAAATTCTGCTAGAGCCCGTATATGGGAGTTTTGATGTCCTTGTATTCTTTAGCCATTGAATGATTGTAATATAATTAGCATATAACCTACATTACAGTTGAGGGTTGGAACCTTTGGTGTTACACAGCAAAATAAAAACACTAAATCACCACAATACACCAAAACACTTTTACTTTTACACTGCATAGTGTAAACTACATCAGTGTAAAAGTAAAAGTGTTTTGGTGTATTGTGGTGATTTAGTGTTTTTATTTTGATATAACCTACATCCAGAGAAGTTACATAAATGTCTTGCTGTATAATCTAAAAACACGAGGATATTGACTGATCCCTTTATTTCTATGATAAAAAAATAGATTTATCCTTGTGACCAATAGGAAATCGAGTCCTAAAAATCGATTGGGTCGCCCGGTAAATTCGTTTAAATAACGAGCAGCGACCAGCGCACCCTAGCGAGCGGCGTGTGAAAATAATTTATGAAAACTGCAGGAGGGAGCTATGGGAGAGCGCCAACCTTGATTAATGTTGGTAGTCGTGTGCGTTAATGGGATATTTATTATTTAATAGGGGGTTTGCGGGGAGTTAGAAGCCTGAGGGTGGATTGGTTGAGATGGAGAATAAGGGGAGATTAAATCATTTGCAGAACTAAATAGAGCTAAGAAACTAAAGTTTTCCTACTCTGGGTGCCATGCATCAGCAATGCAAAAGCAGAACTCCTCGAAGAAGGAAGAAACAACCTGGAAGACTCCATTTGGAACCTGGATTGATGAGTTATAACTCAAGAAATGGTGACAACTACTATATGGAATGTTCAAACTCGAAGTTATTAAATTTTTTGAAAAATATATGACTGGAGAATGTATAATCTAAATATGAGAGGACTACAAATATCTGAAAAGGTCGCAGTGAAATAGTATAAAAAATCGTGAAACAAGATCCGTTTTGTTTTCGAGCCCGGTAAACTGATAGCGTTATATCTTCGGACGGTCTATGGTACGACCATAAAAAATGCGGTGCCACGGGTACCGCCTCGCGATTATCAGCCGTAAAGGCACGTGGTGACGAAGAACCAGCGCGAGGAATCGCACCCACAATAAAGTATGGTGAACCGAGTATCGAATTCGTAAAAATATTAAACGATTTTTCCTTTAAAACTTCCACTCTAAAAAATGAACTTTTGAAAACATAAAAAGAGATGAAATATATCATGTATTCATAGAATTTCAATAAATTATTTTAAATATGCAGTTTATTAGTAACAAACAACAACAACAAGATAGAGACACATATCTAGAAGTTAAAAGAACAACAAGACAAAAAATAAGAACTGCAAAACGAGAAATATGGGATAAGAAATGTCAAGAAATAAATACCTATTTGGGAGGAAGAAAGTGTGCCGAGTCATGGAAGTTCATAAACAAAGTCAAAACCTCAGAAAAACAAACGGCCAAGCTACAATTAATACCAATGAACAAATGAAAGAAATACTATGAAGATCTCCTAACAGAAAATAGGTAGGAATACGCCACAATATCACCCACAGAAATAAATATTTCCGGAGAAGTTATTAACATCGACATACCGCAAATGAAAAAGGCAGTGGCAGCACTGAAAAATAACAGAGCCCCGGGACCGGAGAATATTCCAGGTGAATTGTTGAAATGTGGAACAGAAAAACTATTTAACCTGGTGTATAAATAGATTCTTAAACGGCGCCCCAATACCAAAAGAGTGGAAAATCGCCTATATATCCTCAATCCACAAAAAGGGAAATAAACAAGTGTGCTCCAACTATAGAGGTATATCAGTAACAAGTACCCTAAGTCGATTATACGGACGAATCCTTAGAGATTTAATAGAACAGGAATACCAACAACAAGAAGAGGAGGAACAATCTGGGTTTCGGACTGGGAGAACCTGTACCGATAATATTTTCTGTCTGAAACAACTAATAGAGAAAAAAAGTAGTATTGATCAGGAGACACACCTCATGTTTATTGACCTTCACAAAGCATATGATACCGTTCCAGTTAACAGACTATTCAAAGTACTACAGGACACCAACATTAACTACACCTTAATTAGAGCTCTGAAAAACTTGTACGAAGATTCAACATCACAAATCAAAATAGGCAACACATTATCTGAAAAATTCTTTGTCAATAAAGGTCTACGACAAGGATGCTGTGTTTCTCCCACATTATTTAAAATATATGTAGCAAAGGCCTTGAGACAATGGAAGAGAAAATGTAATGGAATGGGCATTAATCTGGGAGATACCTGTCTATATACCCTGCAGTTACCTTTGTGCAGTTTGCAGATGATCAAGTTATTATGGCCAACGATAAAGATGATTTAGAGTACATGACAAGAAAACTACAAGAGGAATATCAACTATGGGGTTTGGAAATAAACACACGGAAAACTAAATATCTACCTATTGGTGCAGAATTATCTAGCGTACATCTAGAAAATGAAGAGATAGAGCATGCAATGACTACACCTACCTAGGAGTGATATTCGATACAACAGCTAAAGATGACAAAGAAATTAAAAAACGAATATCACAAGCTAGAAGAACAATTGGCTGTCTGAATGGAGTATTTTGGAGTAATGAAATAGGGAAAAAACGGAAGATCAATATATACGAGACCCTGGTAAAGAGCAGTCTACTATATGGCGCAGAGACTTGGCGAATAACGGAAGCCAACCGAAGAAAACTGAAAGCGGTAGAAATGGATGCCTATAGAAGAACCTTAGGAATTTCCCGAAGAGATAGAGTCCGAAACGAAGAAATCCGACAGAGAATAGGAATAGAGGGATCTTTGGCAACCGACATCGAACGTCAACAACTTATGTGGTACGGACATGTCCAGAGGATGGATAACACCCGACTTCCAAAACAAATTATGCAATGGATACCCCAACATCGAAGAAAACGTGGAAGACCTAAGAAGACTTGGAAGGAGGGTGTCACAAGAGCAATGAGTGCCAGAAACCTAAACGAGGGACAATGGAACGATCAGAAGACGTGGAAGTAGTTAGGCATCGGACAACGTCGCAGTTCTAGACCGATATATATATATATATATATATATATATATATATATATATATATATATATATATATATATATATATATATATATATATATATATATATATATATATATATATATATATATATATATATATATATATATATATATATATATAATAGTTTATTAGTTAATACCAGTTCTTCCCTATGCAAAGAAACATCGAATACAAAATTAATACTCAGAACAACAGGAATAAAAGTATTAAGTACAATAGGCGGAGTAATAGAGGTCTCATTTCCTAGCGAATATGTGATTAAAATTTAATAACAGCAAAAAATATGACGTTAATAAAAATGAATATCTGAGTATGAATAACTGAGTATCTATAAGGGAATGAAAACGAAATGATATTAACATAGAAACGCGTTTCATACTTTGTTATTAAATGTTATGTTGATTTGCTATATTTTCTAAATGCCCAGTTGTAATTCTTTCTTTTCTTTCTATTCCAGCATCGAGGATGTCTTCGAGCCAAGTCTGTAGGCCCCACTTCCATCCCCCGTTGCACCCGTGGCTCTCCGAGGCTTCGGCGAAGCCCTTGGCTCATTCGGGACCTTGGGTGCCATTTGGAGGTGGCGCGGGTGACCCGGATAAAAGCCAGAGTCCCAACACGGCTCCCGGACAACCTCATAACATTTTTTCCTTCCCACCCACACCACCGAAGGACTCTACGCCGGACTCAGTAAGTTTCAAGATATTGCTGCCTTTTAGAATATACTCAGTGATGAAAAGGGTATTATTAAGGGTATAATTATGCCCTTTAAGACAGTGGTTATTAATTATTATTTTGACCTGATTATATTTTGCTAAATGTTGTGATCTATGTTAATACCTTAGTTTTTTAAACCAAATTTTTTAAAGCCTATTGTTTTTAGGGCGTTAAATTTAGACTATATGACGTACTGTTATGTATTTTTGAAAATCTTGTAAGAAAGTTGTAACGCTTTGAAAATAATAATATCTTTATTTGCAACAAAAAATTATTTTGGTATATATGGTTGCATTAGTTCTCTATCTGATACCAAGCTCTTCTTATACCCTTTTAGTAAATTAGAATGAAATGCTCGACTGCCATTTTTCACATTTGTCGTACTTTTTTTTCACTTGGGTGTTTTTGTCCTCACGTTGGGCGCCAAAAATATTTAGGTAACAAAAAAAAAATAAAAATAAAATAAATTTTCATAAAAAATTGTATAAATTCACTCTAATTTCTATATGTTCACTGAGTATATTTAAAAATTCTAACTAAATAATTCAAACGTTCAAATTCGTTTACAGGGTGAGTCAAGAAGCTTAAAAATAGTCAAGGTAACTTTGCCAATCGAGTTGTTTGTAATAAATATACTCTTTATAAAAAGCGAATGGTGTTTAAGCTATAGTGTAATAATAGCATAGAATAACGATGAGGGATACCATGTTCCTTAAATCACATAGCTACCTGACCGCCATTTTCTATATCAGTGACTTAAAAATGTGATGTGATGAACACGAATTTCAATCTGTTCCATGCCTACATTTGAAACTAAAATTGAGGCCGTTAATTTTAAAATATTTCTATGTACCTGTAATACTTTTAATTTATACATATGCCAAGTTGCAATATTTTGATTTAACGGCTCAAAAAACGTTCACAATTTTCTTGACATTTCCTTTTTTTTCATTTTAAAAATAGGGGAACATTTTGGAGAATTTAAATTAATAAGACTTTTAAGTAAATAATTTCACCGTCTACAAGGTGACTCACTGGCATGGCAACGTTTATGGAGAACCGGTGATAAGATTTTTTTTTGAAAATTTGGATTTTTGCACAAAGGCACCTGCCTCATCTGTCCAAATTATTTTTAGCATTGCAGTGTTGCCGCTTCATACTACAACTGGTAACATCTTTGTTATTTTAAATGGAACAAACCGGTATATAATTATATTTTTCGAAACTAATTCTATATCCTTACATTTTTCTATTATACTAAGCTATACCAATATCGGATAGTAAATGTCAATATTCTATGGATATAATGATAAATGAGGTCTAAATAATAAGAAAAGGCATTTTCTACGAAAACTTCAAGAAATAGATAAAAAATGGTATAATACAATTTTATAAACAATTAAATTGTGCGTCTCCAGGGTGTTCCATTTAAATTAAACAAGTTATTGGCATTGAAAGCTAGTAATTATTTAATATAATTTTTTGAACGCTCTGTATAAGGTAGTATAATTTTTATTATAGCAACATATTACCTGAGCAATTAATAATCGTCAGTAAACACTGAGTATTAAAACCTTTAATACCCTTGGAGAAATAAAGCCTTACATTTTTTACTGCAATTTCCCAAATTTGTTTCCCAAAATTTGAAATATTTCCAATTTTTTTCGCAAAAAAAATTGGAAATATTTCAAAAACGGTAAGGTTTAAGTGCGATAAACCTTAATCAAATGTACCTTTATTTCAGTCGTAGAATAGAAAAATAGAATAATATACAGGGAGTTCCATTTAAAAAAATACAACTATAATATTGTTTACTTATTTGGAACACTCTGTATCTTGTAAAATTATTTTTAAATTGTAGCTCTAATAGTCCTTCAACGAACCCAAAACTTACAATTTGTAAAAATCTAATCGTTTAGCTACAATACTCCTTGTCGTATGTGGTGAAGAACCCTGTATATTTAAACAAAATATCTGTCTATATCTCGCTGTTTTCCTTTACGGTTCGATAATGTTCAGGTTCAGATAATTTGTCGTAAAGATTTGCAGTGAGCAGTAAGTCAGCGTTCACTATTTATGATAACAGCTAGTTACGTGACTGATTCTTTGATATCAGTGATTAAATTACAGTTTCTGGTGTATCGTTCATCACTAATGTAGAGAATGAAAACTTGGTATGTTCTTGACTCACCCTGTCTGTCCATCCATTCCGAACCCTACCCATTATAAGTAACGCAGTATTTCTGCCGCTTCCAGGTGGCCCCCGGCGGCGCCGGCTCCGAGTACCAGAGCGCGGTGGCGGCCGCGATGGGCGCCTTCATGCACGACAACCCCCAGAGCTGCGCCCTCGACGTCAAGCCCAACGGCGCCCTCATCGGCGGCGGCGGTACCAACAACAGTGGCAGCGCCAAACAACGCGAAGGTAGTGAATACGACGGGACGAGCGGTGGTGGCATGTTTAATGGTAACTTTGAAAGCTCGTACGGCTCGGGGGGTGGCGGCAACAGCGCCGCCCCCACACCGTATGGCCACGGTATTCACGCAGCGGCCGCGGGCGGCTACTCGCCACAGGGTAAAATGGGTGGCCAGGGTCACCAGTCGCCCAACAAGCCCAGGAACAAGTCGAGGACGAGTGCGGGTAAGCCACGGTGGGGGAGGCTTGGGGAAGATTATTTTGGTGGAGGGGGTTTTGATTTTTTTAATGGGAAGAGGATCAACAAATTGAAGAGCTTAGAATATTCAATATACAGGGTGTTTCAAAAAACATGTGCCATCTTTCGTGGGGAGATACCTCACGTAAAAATAAGATTTGTTTTTCATATCAACATAGGTCCGATTCAGCTTTGTTTTGTAGCAACAGGGTGTTAGTCTTAATATTTTTTCGATTTATTATAATTTTCTTCCAAGGACTTTTAGTGATTAGATTGAAATTTTGAGGGAAAAAGTTACGTATTTCAATACTAAAAAAGTGTCGATAAATTCATCAGGGACGTGCATATGGGTTATCACTGGAATATTTAAAAAAAATATGTGCGCCACTGATTTTTTTCTTATTATATCAAAATTGTATAGGCCGTCTAATGCCAATTAAAAGTTATCTCTTGATATTTTGTCGAATTCGACCTCCTTGATCAGATAAACAAAATTTTATTAATCACAATTAATAAAACTAAAATTAAAAAACAAACTGATAAATTATATATTTTACTTTTTTATTTATTATTATTATTAGTCCAACCTACAGCAATTTCAAATAGAAAAAATAGTGATATTTAAGATAATTACAAAAAATCTAATTTTAAAAAGCTTTAACGTCCTGTAACTCTAAAACTATGCATTTCCATACCCATATTTATAGGAACTTTTTTTCATATTTTTTGATGAAGAATCAATGAGTGCCTATTTAAAACTTTTAAAAGTTAATGATATTATTTTTTTTAAAGTTGCTATTAGATTTGGATCAAGGCAAATTAATAAAATTACTTTTATCTCATAAAGGAGGCATAAAGAAGGTTTACACTATTTCGCTAACAAAAGAAAAAAAGTCAGTGGCGTACATTCTTTTTTTAAAAAAAAATTCCAGTGATAACCCATATGCACGTCACTGGAGAATATGTCGACACTTTTTTGGATTTAAAATATGTCGCATTTATAGTAACTTTTACCCTCAAAGTTTCATTCGAAACGCTAAAAGTGCTTGGAAGAAAATTATTAAGACTGTAACACCCTGTAGCTACGAAACAAAGCAGAATCGGACCTATGTTGATATGAAAATAAATCTTATTTTTACGTGAGGAATTTCCCCATGAGAGATGGCACATGGTTTTTGAAGCACCATGTATATGATAGAGATAACCATATGGCACTGAACAAAAAACTATTCTAGAGATTCTAAGTTAAAACTATTGAGAAATATAAAACAACGTAACCACGAATTCATTATACAGGATGATTCAAACATGAGACTTTGGAATACTTGTGTCTAGTACGTTATTTGATTGCGTTTTTATCTCTGCCTCTCTTTATCAAAGTACCTAAGCACAGTGTCCCAAATCCGTAAGCAACCACTGGCTTTTAGGAAACCATAAATTACACAACTTTGCCAACTTGTCAAATTTGAGAATTGTAAAATAACTATTATGTACCCCTGTACATAATAGTTATTTTAAAGAGAACAATATTTCAACAACTTGAGTACCAACAACAATTATTTTTAAAATATATACTAATTTTGAGTGTTTAAATCATTATCACTTATTAGATACAAATCTAACAACAATCTATATAATTACACAAGAAGTGCTTGAAAACTAAAATTTTTAGTTTTATTAAAAATATCTATAATTAATAATAAAATTGTGTCTGTGGAAAATTTTTAAAATTACCAGTAATATTTTATGAGTTTAGGAAAAAGTTTAAAATAAAAACCAAATTATACAAGAGTATACACAAAAGTAATTGCATTAAAGAACACAAAATACAGAGAGTATACAGTATGTCCTCGGATTGTCTTTACAAGAGTAAAAAAAAACATTCTTTTATTATTGACATTTTGAAAAAATGCATTCTTTATAACAAATTTTGCTTGTTCTAAAAGGGTTAATCCCGTTTATACTTTTCTAAATTTCCATACCGTTATGGAAATCTATTATTGACGCTATATCCATTATTGACAAAAATTAAACATGTTGAGTAGATAGTTATTTGACTGAAATGATAAATTTGGGAACTTTTTGTTTTTTTAAATTAATCATAAATTTTTCTTTGAAAAAATGATAATAAACAGTTTCTGTTGATCTTTTGGCACAAAAATATTTCAAATTTATGATTGTAGTCTAATAACTATTTAGTCAACATGTTTAATTTATGTCAATGATGACAGGTATTGATAATTTCGATTCCAAATATCTCGAAAACCATTACTCGTAGCGATTTTTACCAAGAGACCTTTATCACGTAAAAAACGTCGTAAATGTTTATTTTTTTACTCAGTAGTTTTATACAGGTACGGACGAAAAGTTATTACTCTTCAAATCAGTTAAAAAATATGTAGGTGGCGCCCTCTACCAGTAGGAGTCATAGTAGGAGTCACATTAACATGAAAATCAAATTTCTCATGTCAAAAAACCAAACCAATTTTCATCCAAATATTGACGTTACTGCAGAAGTTATTTGGAAAAAATCGAAATAACAATAAAAATTCTACACCCTGTATCTCCGAAACTAAGTATTTTAGAACATAAATTTATACGAACTTTTTTACTTATTTTTATCTGCAGAATATGCTGCCGAAGTTTCCGGAATACAGTTCGGACCACCCTGTATATGTTGAATTTTCTGTTCAAGATCTAATCAAAACGCGTTTCTATAGTTATATAGGTAATTTCGTTTTCATTCTTTGATAGATTTTTATTGATCGAATTTTAATTAAAGTCATATTTTTTGCAGTTTAAAAATGTTAAAGAAGCGTAAAATATATTTAGTTCAAAGGATTAACTATTTTAGAACAAGCAAAAATTTTTCTGAAGAATGCATTTTTTCCAAAATATCAATAATAAAAAAGTCTTTCCTCTTTTAAAAACAATCCGGGGACATACTGTACATACTGTATTATACACTAAATTGTAAATAATAATTACAATAAGGGTATTTTTCGAAAATAATTATAGGTAGTTTTTGTTGTATTTATTAAAGCTACTAATCGAATGACGTAAAAAAATACAAAATAACAAAAACACATGTCAAATTTGAAGACATTATACGTTTATTATACTACTTATAAACCTGAAACCTGTCTGACGGTATATTCTATTGTCCTGATATCTCGAAGATAACCTCATAGATAAGCTAATTGATTTTTTACTTTACATCTAAACGTGGTCCTAGTGAAAGTAGCTCCTACATTTTTTCTTTATTGTTACAAACCAAACGTAATATCGCTATATTAATATTGTCGCAGTATTTCTTAATCTCTATTTATTTTATTTATTTTTTCTTCTAAGAAATATCGAAACAGGTAGTTGTCAAAAAGATAAAAGAATCTGAGACAGAGATAGAGAAAAATATAATGTTGAAATATTAGGTTTGTTCCAACATAGCCAGAGAACCGTTCTTGATACTCTTACGTTTATGCGCAGTAGAGAAAATGCGTTCCAACAACAAGAGAATGGTTTAGCAAACGATAACTTTTTTGTTCTAGCAAGAATTATTGTAATCGTTCGTGAACCATATTCAGAACTAGTGTTGCACAAGAGTCTTGAAAAAATCTTAAATTCAAGACAAGACTTTCAAAATTTCTTGTCTTGAATTTCAAGACAAGACAAGACTTTAATATGCAAGAAATTTCAAGAGTCTTGCAAGATTTCTTGAATTCAAGATTTCTTGAAAGTTAGAAATGATACATTTTTTTAAGTGATAATTAGGTCTTTGCGTAAGTTATGCCGGGTTTATAAACATTTACATAGTCGTAATCACAATCACAGCCATAATCATAAAAGTTAAACTATGCACTTCTTATAAACCTGTTGACATCTACCATGAACTTAGCCTTTAATTATTATGTTACCCAACTTCACTGATATAAAAATTATGATTATGAAAATGTTCTATAAACGCACATTGAAATTGCGTTGTGATTATGACGATGATTAAGACTGTGATAAGGATTACGACTTATGCAATTGTTGAATAAACCCGACATTAATATTGATCAGTGTTCATTTTTTTCTATCATAGCCAGTGTTTTAATTGGTATTATACCTAAAATGGTATTATAAAAAAAACTAACGGTAGTTGAAACTAATAGTGGGTTCGTGGAGTACGCTATTTGCGCTATTTGGTACTACTTTTCATACAGGAAATTGCTCCGCGAACAAAAAGTAGTATCAAATAGCGCAAATAGTACACTCGAGAATGATCTTTCCGTACACCCTATGTCCAAACTTTTCCAACCAATCTTCCATAATAAAAAATAAAATAAATACCATAAAAAATAAAAGTAACAAATCCTGTTTCGTCGAGTTGACGTAGTTCGTTTACGCATGCGTTCCGTTAAGATTTTTTTTTGCCAAATTAGCATCGTTGTTGTTACCTTTTTGTTAGAATGTAAAATTTTTCAAGACAAGATATTGGAAGACAAGACTTTGCAATTCAAGAAATCTGCAAGACAAGACTTTGAAAATTTCCTGTCTTGAATTTCAAGACAAGACAAGAAATTGATTTTCAAGACAAGAATTCTTGTCTTGTGCAACACTATTCAGAACGGTGATTACGATACCAGCCTGAAAGCAAGAATTAAAAGAACTTGCGTATTAAGACTATGCCAGCTGATTATTGTTTTCTTTTATTTCTTTAGCTATTTTCTTTTTGACTTTGCTGATTCCTCAAGTTTTATTTGGTATTTATCGTTTTTACACAAATTTTAAATAAACATTTTTATATTTTTGTAATGAATATGCTGAGTGGCGAAGAGGACAATGATATTGAGTATGTGGATACCAGTAAAAATGATTTGAAAATTTTGCTAAACAACGCAGAGGTGATTGCGTATTATCTTAAAAATAAATAAATTATAATCCGTAAATGAATCCAATAAAATACAAAATTCAAAATTTATATCAAAACTATTAATTGAATTTA